TTCTCTCTCTTCTTCTCCCTCCCTCTCTCTCTCTCTCTCTCTCTCTCTTTCTCTCTTTCTTTCTTTCTCTGTCTGTCTCTGTCTCACTATAGCATTGTAGATATCGCGATAAAGATGTCGATAGTACTTTGTTAGATACTATCATTATATTTATAATCCGGCGAAGTTGTTAATTATTTTAAACACTGAACGATGAGAGGTCATAAATCGCGGTCGTTCCGGTCACGCGTTAACGCTGGAATTGGATTGTAAGGGACAAAACGGAAAAGATTGTCACGGGAAGATATAAGAATTTTTCTTTAATAGATATGTGGCTGTCATGCGTTATTTATATTTCACACATATTTTTCCGGAAAGGCGAAACAGTTTCCCACCTTACTGTGTGTTTTATAGTAAAATTGTTCCGAGCTTTCTTCTCCCCGAGCGGAAGGCGCTATTCGTGAATTTCACTTGTACGCTTCATGCCAAATTAAGATGTATCAATGCCTCTAGTCAGTATAATATTAGTCTACGATAATGAATAGACGCGAATGCCAAAAAGAAAGGAAAAAAAGAAATATACGATTCATCCGCCCTAGTTAATTTCTTAGCGCGTCATTTTGATTGATGGGTCGCTGGGATTTCTCGGATCGTGTAACAGAGAATCTCCCTCTCGAGTCTATCAAACGCGTGTTAACCGAAACCAAAATTAACGTAGCGTATCTATTTACCGTTATGTAAAGAATCGACAATGTTTAACGATAAAATAAAATTTCTTAATGACAAGTATTATGTACGCACAGGGACTAAGTACAAAGTGCTCTGCGATGCTAGAAGACAGGATTATTTGTTATAATGCGCTTCATCCTTTAATCACACACACACACACACACACACACACACGCGCGCGCGCGCGCGCGCGCGCGCGCGCGAGCGTGTGTATGTGTAATTTCATTGAAGACTCGTTGAAAGTACAACCGTCATTTTGTGTATACTGTTCTACTCTAGTTCACCTTTACAAATCATCTTATTCTATCGAAGACTCTTTAATTTCAATGATAAATAGCTTAAATGATAGATAGTTAATATAGGGACACCATGAATCTACCCCTTTTTTTTAGCATAGCGGCCTTTGCCGTTGATCGCTTCACTTCCGAAGCTCATAATACATAAACCCGTAATACATCAAGAATAGCCCCTTTGAAAGATGGAAGAATAATCGCACGGCCTACACAATTCACTCAGCGGAACAAAATAGATATTTATTTATTTTCTTTGTGCCAAATCGTTGTTGTAATGACTCGCTGTGTAGCGAGATACATGTCACAACTTAGGCGATCGAGATACCACGGGCTAGATTACGAGATAGAAATTTTAAACGCATCTGAGTCAATTAAGATAAATGATCTTGACGGGAATCAAAAAGATAAACCAAGGATGGAATGTTTTTATTACACTGGAAGAATGAGACGGATGCGATTCGATAACGATTTTCATTTTAATAGATGTTGATTGATCGTAACGATGTGACAAACGTTAAAAAATATCATTCTTCGACTTGTTATTCTCACGCGAGAGTGTTAACATGTATTGTTCGAACAATAACTCTAAATAGTAAACTACTTATCATGGTAACAGTTGAGACAGAAAGAATGGCGTATATCGTGTGAATAGAAATTATATTATTATTTATAACATAATTGATATATATTATATATATATATATATATATATATATATGTATATATAGTCATATATATATATACA